CAGACATGACGACTGATCTGCTCTCTCCTTGCTATTCTATACACGCTCTCTAATTTCATATATTAAGACTAAACGTTCGGCTCACCGAATGTCCTTGGTAAACAAACTGAAAACGTACACCAGGGGTCACCAATCTCGTTCCTGGAGGTCTGGTGCTCTGTAGGGTTTAGCGACTTGCCTCAACACACCTGCCTGGGTGTTTCAAGTATACCTGGTAAGACCTTGATTAGCTTGTTTAGGTGTGTTTGATTAGGGTTGGTGCTAAAATCTGCAAGACACCGGCCCTCCAGGAACAAGTTTGGTGATTCCTGATGTACACACATATATACGCGTTCCTTCCTCCAAGCTGTTTCTATTGAAATTTCCTTTTTTTCCATCTAATTATTATTCCAGTCATAAAGTATTTGACATGTTCTTTACTTTGTAGCCAACCTGTTTGAAAATGAAGTGTGTAATTTGTTTTCGATGTTAAAAACTTTACTTTTTGGTGAAGAATGTGTGAATTGAGTCGCTGAAAAGCGTTAAACAAATAAAATATCATTCTGTTTGTGGTTTGACCAAATACGTTAAGTGTTCGTCCATCAATAGAGTGCAACAGTCAGGTAACGGAAGTAAAACTACATTTATACAGTACTGTGCACAAGTCTTAGGCCACTAGTAGGCTATTTTCTTTCTCTAAGATGCTTCAAAAAATCCTCCTGCAAAGCTGCAGTACTGTTTAAAGTTTTAGGCACTTGTGTAAAAATGCTGTATAACGAGGATGCTTTTAAAAAGAATGCATAAATACATTTTCTTTATCAATGAACTTGCATTAAAAATACTTGGTACACTAGTTTTTCAGCTAGCTTTACAGGTCGATTTTTTTGAAGCATCTTCAAGATGCCAAGGTATCTATAATCCTGGACCAGGCCGTATCCTGAGCTGATGCTGTGGTGGTCATGGAGGAGCGAAGAGCGTGAGACTGATTCCTGAAAAACCCCAGTGACAGACGAGTCATGCAGCTTCTATATATTGGACGTCCAGAGTTCTCCAGACTGTTTCCTAGACTGCAGCCCTCCACAAGATGTTTGGCTATAGAAGAGTAATGGTCATGCCCATTCTGGTTTCTCTCTAGGTTTTTTATTTCCCTGTTAACTTCGTCAATTGGTGAAGTTTGTTCTTCAATTTTGCAAGTTCGCTTGGTTTGGGACTTGTGGAGCTGAACATTGATAGTTTTGCTCTTCAGTGTTTGGACTTTCAGCAGTGAGAATGAAACCAGACTGAACTGAACTGAACTGAACTTCAGCTCTGAAAACTGGACTGACATATTTCCAATTTACTAGAACTTCCATGTTAAGCTGCTTGACACGATCTACATTGTAAAAGCGCTGGAGAAATAAACATGAATTGAATGCCAAAGTTCTTCTGGGTTGAATTTCAGGTCTCAGTTTGTCCCTTTTCCTCATGACAGACTGGATCATGACCAGATCGGAGTACAGCACTGACTGTTAGCAGACAATAATCTCATTGTAGTATTACAATTATTGAAAAAAAATCTAGAAAAAAACGACTTTAAATCTTTTCTTTCGGTTAAAATATTGGTGGCCTAAGACTTCTGCGCAGTACTGTACATCTTAGGGGTTTTAAACCATAGACCAGCCCGATCTCACAAGGGAACATTACTACTGTCAGAAAAGTATCTAGCTCACACACATTTATACGATTTCACTTGTACGGAAAAAAATAACTACTTTTAAAAGGGAGCATGCCCCCAAACCCAACGCTAACTTGGGGATGAGCAAATCGTACTAAAACTTATGAACGAGATTATACAAATGCATATGAATTAGCCACTGAATCAAAAAGTTATGAATTGGCATGAGATTGCGTTGGATATTGCATATGGTTTTGTAAAACATATAAATATATACACGTTTGATATATTTATATATTGTTTTGATGCCAAAAATTATTAGAATGTTAAGTGAAGATCAAGTTTCATAAAGGCATTGTAAATTTCTCACTGTAAATATATCAAAACTTAACTTTAGTTCAGTAATATGCATTGCATTGCAAAGAACTTAATCTGGACAACTTTAAAGGTAATTTTCTCCAAATGTTTTAATTATTTATTTAGTTTTGCAATTATTTTCCTTGTGGCTGGATGGTTTGTTTATTGTTGTAAAACTCTATGTAATTTTAGTAAAAAAATCCCCTATGGAAAAATACATCCAGAACCAGAACTGTTGAAAAAGCGACTAAACACCAATGCACTCAATTTAGTTTTTCTGTTTACACACTTCACTTTTGCCAGCAAATTTCTGCCATGCAGAATCCGATCTTCTTTTATTTCATGAAGCCACTTTTTGATTAATTGATAAATTATAAAAATCATACACTGTATTAGCCCATAGATATGTACATGTAGATATGACAGCCATGTTGGTAAGGTCAACACCTCATCACTCACAATACAAAAAAAAACAAAAAACAATGTGTTTTATTTATTGCCACCACCTTACGCAGTATCCAGTTGGAGGGAAAAAAAATTATATATATATATATATTTTATATATATATATATATATATATATATATATATATATATACAGTTAAAGTCAGAATTATTAGCACCCCTGTTTATTTTTTTCCCCAATTTCTGTTTAATGGTGAGAAGACTTCTTCAACACAATTCTAAACACAATAGTTTTAATAATCTCTAATAATTTAATCTCTAATAACTGATTTATTTTATCTTTGTCATGATGACAGCACATAATATTTGACTAGATATTTTTCAAGACACTTTTTTACAGCTTAAAGTGACATTTAAAGGCTTAACTGTGTTAATTAGGTTAACTAGGCAGGTTAGGGTAATTAGGCAAGTTATTGTATAACGATGGTTTGTTCTGTAGACTATCGGGAAAAAAAAGCTTAAAGGGGCTAATAATTTTGACCTTAAAATGGCTTTTATTCTATCTGAAATAAAACAAATAAAACTTTCTCCAGAAGAAAAAATATTATCAGACAAAATGTGAAAATGTCTTTGCTTTGTTAAACATCACTTGGGAAATATTAAAAAAAAAATGTAAAGGGGGCTGATAATTCTGATTTCAACTGTTTATATATACACACACACACACACACACACACACACACACACACACACATATATGTAATATATATAAAAGTAATGTATGTATAAACTATGTAAAGCATTCATAATTAAGAATGTGCTGGTTTGTATTTGCCTGTGTCAATTGTTTTACAGGTTTTTAACTCTTGATTTTCCCGAGAAACTATAGACTAATATAGTAACTTTGTTTAAATATAATACAGATTTTTTTTATTGTGTCAAAAAGGTCAAAAGTCTTGTAAATACCCCCAGTAACATTCCAGAGTATTTCTGAAGAGCATTTTAAAGTGTTAAACTACAGTACATTTTTAATGTTAGCTAATGCCTTTGTCTTCTTTTATTGTGTTAGTTCAGCAATAAGGTCTATTGCAGATGTATTTATTCATACATATAGCTAATGAGTCATCTATGTGTACATATCTATGGCTCAGCCTTCAACCTTAGCATAGTGCTAACTTTAATTTAGCTACATTTGATCAGGCGTCAGAAAAGGAGATGGAATTCTGATGGCGTACTCTTACACATCCGAACCAAACATGGGCAAAAAATGGACAACATTGATCTGCGGTCATGCATGCTCTTTTTACATAATGACAGAATCAGGTGGCTAAAATAAGGAACCATGCTTGCTAATGCAGACAGGCACTTCTGCCCTGGTGTGTGCGAGCGAGTAAACGCATGCAAATACTGACTGCTTCTACAGACAGAAAGACTGCTCTAGACAAGCATTTCTCTTCAGAAAAAATAAAATTAAATCACATGACAGTCATTTGGGAGCTTGGCAATACACGTACAAATATATAAAACAGACGGTCGCTAGAACTTCTATAAATAATTCTCAATAGCTGACATCTCTTATAACTTTAAAGGGGTCATGACACCCGTTTTGTTAGCACAGGAGGGGGCTCTGATGTGTTTTTAATATGCAATAAAATAAACAAAAATAAAAGTTTAGTAAGTCAATCATGAACTTTTCTTTACTAAATTCATAAAATAAACATGGATACAGATTTTCCGTATTCCAGTTATCATTGCACTAATCCTCAGGACGCAAACATAAATAAAAAGCACGACAACATTAACGAGAGGCAACATAACATGTGAAAAAAAGAAAAGCACTGAGTTGTAAAAAAAAACAAACAAATTAACACAAATACTGTCGGTAGGAAAAGTGCGCACAGTCAAATTTTTCACATAATGACGCAATAACACTTGAAGTTTTGAATTAGGGTTGTCAAAAAGTATCGATTTCGGGACCAATCAGTAATTTAAAAACATTTCAAACTAATATTTAAACGCGCTTTAAAATATCAGTACCGATTCCGATACTTTTAACAACAATTTTAAACTATTAATGAATTCAAATTTGTTTAAAAGCATTAAATCCGTTCATTTACTATTATATCGCCATTAAAGTCGCACTTGAATAATATAGCGTTTCAGAAGTTGGCAGTATACCGTTTTAATTTCATTAAATCACATACAGTGGGGGGATTACGTATTGAACACGTCATGTTTTTTCCTGGGAATGATAATTCTAAAGGAGCTGTTGACATGGAGTTGAACCGGATTTTGGATTTTGGTAAAAACCCAAACAATACAAAACAAAACAATTATGTGTAATAACAATGAAATGACACAAGGAGGAAGTATTGAACTACTGAAATGTATTTAATACTTTATATTAAAGTTTTTTTTTTTTGGTAGCTTAAAGACGCCTCTCATATGGAGTATGAAGTCACATGCATTGCTCCAGTGTGAGTTTCTCACAGACTTCAACAGAGTGTACAAATCTTGATGTTCTGTGGGTCTCGTCTATCAAATCTGAGCTTTAATTTGTATTCTCTATTGGATTTGGATCAGGTGATTGGCTGGGCCATTCCACAGCTTGATTTTATTTCTCTGAGAGTCTCCTTGGCTGTGTTTTGAATCATTGTCTTGCTGAAATGTCCACCCTGGTTGGGCTGAAGCAGCTGATATTTATTTCCACATGGGAAGGGCAGAGTGTTGCTGAAGAACTACTGAGAAATTTCAGCTGCTGTCTGGGCTTTCACTGCCTTTCTACACCTTCCTTCCTTCATGTGTTCAATACTTTTTCCCTGCGTCATTTCATTTTATAACTTGATTTGTAAACTAGTTTGTTTTGTTTTCTTTGGATTTCTTTCGCTGTGACCAACATCCGGTGGAAATTTCAAGTTAACAGCACTTTTAGAAAAATGTTTTCTGAGAAAAACGGTGACATGTTCAATACTTATTTCCCCACTGTACGTACGAAGACTATATGTAAACTAATTGGTCAGGTGGGGTAAGAGGTTGAAGACTTCACATGATCCTCGCTAAAGCTATTCCTTTGGAAGGACTACATGTTTCGCAGGTAGTTCTCCTGACAGTCTTGCTAGTGCTCAATAGCGCCCCCTAGCATTCGTCAATGGTGAGGCAGATAAACTCCTGAATACACTTTCTGTACTGCTGCTCTGTAGGGCTGGTGCTGGGGTATTGACCTGGCTGTCCTAAAGGCCCGTCCGCCTCCCGCATCTCCTCGTTCATCCGCGCTAACCGCAATCTGAGTGAGACACAACAAAAGCAAACACATTAGTTTCATAGGCAGTGTCGACACATTTGTGCCTATTGTTTTGTGAATGGTTTAATTTATATTGTTGTGTAAAATAAGGATCACATCCCAAAAAACTGGAAAAAAGGAAAGTAATTATAAACTGTATTTGGATGGCAATTGTTTCTCTGAGGGGCAATTTTCACCATTTGCAGGGGGAAATTGGGGTTTTGTACACTCCACAATGTTCGATGTAAAGACCCCTAGCCAAATTACCTAGAGTGTTTCAACATATTTCTAAAGCACTATTTACAACGCCAGTGGCATGCCATAAACAAGTGGCACAATCAACATTGTAAAAGGGCTATATAAATAAATAAACATGAACCCCTTTCATTTCATTTATTCATGTACCGTATATCTACAGTTGAATTCAAAATGATTGAATTCTGTGTATTTTTAAATTCATTTTTAAGTATTTTCCAAATGCTGTTTAACCGAGCAAAGACATTTTCACAGTATTTGCTATAATATTTTAGTTTTCTCAGCAAAATCTTATTTATTTTAGTTCAGATGGAATAAAAGGGATTTAAGTTCTTTTTAAAACAATTTTGGATAAGTTGGTGGTTCATTCCACTGTGGTGACACCAGATAAACAAAAAAAACAAACAAAAAAAACAAAAAACGAATGATAGTTAATGAGTTTTAATGCCATAATTTTTTGCCTCTTTGGAAATTTAGTTTTTTTTGATTGACTACAGAACAAACCAATCTTCTCCAATAAAGTGATCCAATAATTATCCTAACTAGCCTAGTTAACGCTAGTCTTTAAATTGCACTTTAATCTAAATAACGGTATCCTGCAAAGTATAAAAAAAAATACGTCTAATTTTATGTCTTTGTGGCAAAGACAAAATAAATGACTTATAAAAAATTATTTATTAAAATTATTCTCTGTGAAACAGCACTTGGGAAGCGGCTAATAATTTAAACTTTAACTTTAATATATATATATATATTCACACACACACACACACACACACACACACGCACGCACGCACGCACGCACGCACGCACGCACGCACGCACGCACGCACGCACGCACGCACGCACGCACGCACGCACGCACACACACACACACACACACATTTAAAAACAGTTTTTTCCCCAGATGTCTCCTAGCTTTACAATTGCCATCTGAATAAGCTTATTTTAATACTGGGAGAATCAACTTAGGAATTAGTGAAGTGCTCGACTCACAATGTGACGATGTCTGCGTTTGCTGCCTGGACAGCGATGCTGAGAGGGTCCTGCCCATCCTCATCCACCTCCATCTGACCGGCTCCTCGCTTCAGGAACAAACACACCTGTCTGTGGACGGAAACACACAACACAGCAGAATGAGGAGTTTTACGAAATCAGCTTTGTGTATCAGCCAGGAAAGGGGCACATAACTGATGATGATTGGCATGTATGTGTAGGGGTGGGACAACCACGTAACTGATGATGAGTGGCATGCGTATATGGGTGGGACAACGCCATCAGTGATGATGATAGGCATGTGTGTGTAGGGGTGGCACAACCTCATAACTGATGATGATTGCATGTGTGTAAGGGTGGGACAACCACATAACTGATCATGAGTGGCATGTGTAGGGGTGAGACAACCACATAACTGATCATGAGTGGCATGTGTAGGGGTGGGACAACCCCATAACTGATCATGAGTGGCATGTGTAGGGGTGGGACATCCACATAACTCATGATGATTGACGTGTGTGTAGGGGTGGGACAACCACATAACTAATGATGATTGGCTTGTGTGTTGGGGTGGGACAATCAGATAACTGATGATGACTGGCATGTGTGTGTAGGGGTGGGACAACCACATAACTGATGATGACTGGCGTGTGTGTAGGGGTGGGACAACCACAAAACTGACTTTAGTTAACTTGCCCAAAACTGGTCTTCAGTCATTTCTTACCCTGTATGACCCAGACATGTGGCGTGATGGAGAGGTCCTCGTCCTCGAATGTCCCTTTGATTCACATCTGCTCCGTTCTGCAGCAGAAACTCACAGGCAATCAGAGAGCCCTGAAAGAAGAGCGCATATATCAAACATTAGTCAAAACATTGGGTCAAGTAAACTCTAATTCACCTTTGTAACTACACATGAAGTATCCACTTAAATTGTAAATACAAAGGTTACTGTAGTATGTTTTAATATTTCCGTCTTTCTACTTTAACATGTAATTCAAATCATTGAATTGCAAGTTGCCTTTTGATGGACGAACTGTGAAAGGAAAACGACTTACCCCTGTGACGGCTTGTATTAATGGACTCTTGCTTTCGTCCTCTTCACTGACAGAGTTGACGTCTGCTCCGTGTGCAAGCGCTTCTGCCATGACCGGCATGTTTCGGGCTCGTGACGCTTTATGAAGCAGCGTGTTCGGGTCAAGCTCTCGGCCGTCCTCCGGATCTGACGCTTCCTGCTCGATATCAACCTCGCCACTGGATTCATCAGAGTCCTCACACTCTGCAAGAAAACACCCAATATAAAATGCCCGGGCACAGTGGTGTAAAGTAATGAATTGCAAATACTTTATTTACTGCATATTTACTGCGGTATCTGTACTTTAACTGACAGACAATCTATAATAGCGAATGAAGTGGGAGGTGTTCTCACCTTCCTCAGTGACGCTGTCCACTACAGAGCCGAAGACGAGTATGTCAGTGCTGCCATCAGTGCTGCCGCCAAGTCCACTGTCACTGCTGAGACCTGCGGGGCCAACAGGTGCCAAGCGGAGGACACGTTACTCACAACATGACATTCAGACACTGGCCTTGTCACATGGCACTTCTTACAATTTACTTGCACCTATCAATATGTAACTTAAATGTCCCGCTATGTCCTGCTAAATGTTGCAAACATGCTAAAAACATTACAAAACATTCCTAACCCTACTGAAAAATAAGTTAAACATTGCTAACATGCTAAAACCGTGACGAAACATGACTACTCCTATTAAAAAATAGCAGTGTTAAACGTTGCTAATGTGCTAAAAACATTACAAAACATGTCTACCCTGCTAAAAAATGACCTTGTTAAAAGCTGCTAACAAGCTAAAACGATACAAAACATGCCTACCCCTGCTGAAAAAAAGCAGTGATAAAAGTAGCTAACATGCTAAAAACAATACAAAACATGCCTACCCCCCTGCTGGTAAATAACATTGCTAACATGTTTAAAATCTTACAAAACATGGCTACCCCTGCTGATAAATAAACCACATTAAACGTTGCTAACATGCAAAAAAATGTTACAAAACATACCTACCTCTGCTGAAAAATAGCCGTGATAAACGTTGCTAACATGCTAAAACATTACAAAATCTGCCTACCCTTGCTGGTAAATAACCGTGTCAAACATTGCTACCATGCTAAAAATGTTACTAAACATGCTTACGCCCGCTGATAAAAAGCTGCTTTAAATGTTGCTAAAATGCTAAAAACATTACAGATCATAACTACACCTGCTGAAAAATCACTATTACATGTTGCTAACATGCTAAAAACATTACAGAACATGCCTACCCCTGCTGAAAAATAATTGTGTTAAACATTGCTAACACCATTACAAAACATGTTTACTCCTGCTGAAAAATAACCTTGGTAAATAAGGCTATCATTTAAAAACATTCCAAAACATGCCTAGCCCTGCTGAAAAATCACTGTGTTAAACGTTGCTAACATGCTAAATACATTACAAAACATGCCTACCCCTGCTGAAAAATAACCGTGTTAAACAATGCTAACAACGTTGCAAAACATGCCTACTCCTGCTAAGATCACTGTTACATATTGCTACTAGCTAAAAATGTTACAAAACATGCCTACCTCTGCTAAAAATAAGTACGTTAAACATTGCTAACATGCTAAAACTGTTACAAAACATGCCTACCCCTACTGAAAAATAATTGTTAAACATTGATAACATGCTAAAATGGTTACAAAACATGCCTACCCCTGCTAAAAAATAACTGTTAAACATTGCTAACTTGCTAACACCATTACAAAAACATGCCTACCCATTCTGAAAAATAACTGTTAAACATTGCTAACTTGCTAACACCATTACAAAAACATGCCTACCCATTCTGAAAAATAATCATGTTAAACGTTGCTAACACCTTTACAAAACGTACCAACTCCTGCTAAAAATAACAGTGTTAAATGTTGCTAACATGCTAAAAACAATACAAACATGCAAAACAATACAAAGGTATGTTTTGATGCTGGTTTGCTGGTTGATGAATCACCATAGACGAGAAAAACAGCATCAAAACATACCTTACCGGCATATTCTGATATGGCATGTTTTGGGATAGGCATGTTTTGTAATGTTTTTAGCATGTTAGCAGCATCTAACACAGTAATAACATGTTAATGGCACATAGTATGTGTTTTTGGAATGTTTTATCATGTTAAGCAACAGTAATAAAATGTTGCTATCATGTAGTAGGCATGTTTTGGAATATTGTAGCATGCTAGCAATGCTTAACACATTAAAAACATGTAGCCAGCTTGTTTTAGAGCATTTAGGAACATTTTCACCTGTAATGTTATAGGATAGTGGAGATTATAGACAAAGGGGAGAGATGGGACTGATCTGCAAAGAACCTCGAGCCGAGAATCGATCTCAGGTCACCATAAACACTGTCGTGCCATGTGTTAATGCACTAACAACTAGGCTATGGGCGCTGCTAGTGCTTTTTTAGGAAGAAAAGTCTTATTAAGCACTTACTGCGAGGCCCTGATCCAGTGTCAAAGTAAGAGAAGAGCGAATCAAGCTCATCAGGACAAAACAGAGATTCCCTCCGAAACTTTGCCGCTGCTGCAGCTGAGAATAACAAGGAGAGAAGAACAATACGTCAACTTTTAACTCTGTCCAGCTCTGAAGAAGCAGAACAAAAGTGTTTCAGAGATGACAAGAGCAAATACCGGCGGAGAGATTTCCTGGAGACATGATGGCAGCGTCGTGTCTGTATTTCCGGCGTGTTTTAGGGGCTCTGATGGAGCTGTTGTGTCTCCTGCACTTCTTCACGCTCCAGTGATGTGACTTTCGGCCTCCCTCCAGCAGCGCCTCGGAGCCGCACATCTTCTTCAGAAACTTCCTCTCCACGTATTTGGCTTTGATCCACGCTTCTTTCTCCTGCCTGGATTAAACATCACAACAGTTTCTATTAATGAAATATTCGCTGTATAAAACTATCATAACATCAAGGTGAAAAAAATATTATCGGAGTTGTGTGAGGTGTTGACCGCACACTGACCTTGAGCTGTTAGGGCCCGGTTTCTTCAGGCCTTGTTCCTCGCATGCTCCTTCATAAATCTGGTTGATCACAGTGTTGCCAAGCTCACACATTAACTAGAGAGGAAACAGCCATAAAGCATTACGTTAGCCAATCAATAAAAGCCATAAGCATGTATCAGGAATATTCAAAGACAAAAACAAACCACTGTTGTCCAAATAATTTGCCTAATTAACCCAACTTGTCTAGTTAATCAAATTAACACAGTTCCAGAATATATGGCATACTAGTATCTTACAAAATAACTAGCTAAATATCATGCACTGTCATACTTAGTTTGTCTTCAACTGTTCAATATTAATTTTGACCACTAATAAGGTCTGGGAGTGTTCTTACCTTCATAAGCTCTGGTTCCCATGTGTCGAGTGTTAAAGAGCGAACTTTAGAGCAGTGGACACCCAAACTCCTGCAGAGAATAACACAGGTCCATTATATAATCTAGTGTGCGCTGTTCAAAAAATAATGGTTGCATTATTTTTATTTTATTTTATTTTATTGAAACTGAATCAATTTAACCCTAGAAACCATTTACTTGCATTACATCCAGCTGATTTAAAACAACCTGTATGACTGAACCAAATGAGTAGCTTGTTTAGGTTAGTAACAATAACATACAAATGTTTTGTGGTGACGTATTGATCAATATCCGCTTGTTAAGTCGTGACGTATCGGTGACATATGAAATACTGTTTCCAGGCTCAGGCCGCTACTCATTTGAATTGAGAAAATATTCGTTTATGAACACTTTTTAGTTACACCACACATTAAAGTGAATTGTTTATATAATCATCATGGTGTACACACCAGTCTTTGGACTTATTTTTACAAATACAAAAATGTTAACAATTTATAAAACATTAATCACTTACTGGCCATCGGATAATAGGCATATGTATATAAATATTGTGATTTTAGAAAGTAATACATTGCTTTGTAAATGTTCATTAGTCTCCTCATACAGTTTGATATAGCGCTTGGACTCGGAAGCCACTTTGCGTGACTTAACAAGCGGATAATGTTTACAGCGCAGGTTAAGTACATTATAAGTGCACATTAAGTACACATACTGTAAAATAAAGTGCAGACATTTAGTGCTGACAAAATGATTAATAGTGATCACATCCAAAATAAAAACGTGTATTTACATTATGTATGTCTACTCACGGTGTAAAAATTCTGTGAATGTATTAGTGGTGGGCCGTTATCGGTGTTAACGTGCTGCGTTAATGCGAGACTCTTATCGCACGATAAAAAAAAATATCGCCGTTGATCTATTCTAAAAGTTGTGTTGGGAGCTGGGTTTATTCTACGCAAGCTATGATGACTTTCACCTTGATATTTTAGCGCGAATGTATACCTGACCGGTGAGCCGTCTGACAAAAAGTGCCCTTCTGAACCAAATCAGCAGGATGCCCTTCTGGATCTTTCACTTACTTTGAAGACACTAGTGACTACGCTTACATGGACATCTGTAATCTTGACATTTGCCTTAATAGACAATAATATAATTAGGGTGTTTACGTGAAGTGCTTTCATGTAAGAGTTTCCTGTAATTTTGGGTGACTTTAACTGCAGTTCGGCACTTTCACTTTCACTCATGAACATTTCATACATGCCCCCGTGACAAACTGGGGTATTAGACGCAAATAAGGAGTAGGGACTGGTGAGAGTGTTGTAGAATTTATTAACGTACGCCAAATGGAAAGAAAAAAACTTCTGCATATCGCGATGTGTGTGTTTGTGCGGTCCTTTACTGACAGCCGCGTGTGTGGATCTTGTCGGAAAATATGGGGAAAAGTCCTACATGAGGGTAATAATTTAATTGCGGTGTTTACTTCAATAATGCCACTAATATCTGCATACTCCATGTCTAAACTCCATTTCTGTTTAGTTCAGTTATGACTTTAGTCGGATTAAGGTGATCAAAAATGGCTGTTTGGAGCTTATGTAGGCCTACAGGTCAACATTCATGTTTAACTGAATAAACAGTAACAGTAAACACAAGCACATCTTATTGAACATCATTTATTTTCATCACCAATTATCACAGTAGAACAGTTTCTCAAGCAGTTTGTGATGCATTTTAGAAACAGGAGATGAGGCCCCGGTCTAATGCGCCACCTGGCTTGAGAAACCCGTTCTCAGAGACTTATATTTAGTCATTATTTGGGTACCACACATATTCTGAAAGCCTTCGGCAGATTTCAAATAAGCTATTTTAATCTACATTAATTCCAAGATTACAGTGAGATTAATCTAGATAAAAAAAAAATCTATGCCCACCTATAGAATATATACATTAAAAATATAAAATATAGTACATATAGTATTAAATATAAATATTTAATTTATAAATCTAAATAAATATTTTCACAAATTTATATATATATATATATATATATATATATATATATATATATATATATACACACATACATACATACATGTGTGTGTGTGTGTGTGTGTGTGTGTGTGTGTGTGTGTGTATATATATATATATATATATATATATATATATATATATGTGTGTGTGGGTGTGTGTGTGTGCATGTTTATATATACATACTAGATTTTACTATATAATACTATATATTTTAACACTCACACACCCACATTTATATATCATGTAAATACAAGCTTTTATTTTGGATGCGATTAATTGCAATTAATCTTTTGACAGCACTACAAACATTACATTTACATCTGCAGCCCTTATTGTGTCTGAGCTCAAATCTGACACGTGTGTGAGTGTGTGTGTCTCTGACTTGCTCTCATCAATGGCCATCTTTGCAGAGGCAGGAGAGGTTTAATCTGATTATGGATGGTAATCTGCAGAGGAACTGACGGAGCAGAAAGGGTGCTTCACCCTGAGGTCGTGACGCAGTGTGGACACGAGCATCATATGGATGAGGGCTCGCCTTCATCTGCTGGGTTTAATCGCTCATGCGTGATGCAGTCCGGATAAATGTTGTGACGCAGGTGGCCTGACTAACCACAGTCAATCAATACGGAAGCAGATGCTTTCTCAGATGCTGTGTGTTTGGGGCTTGTTTAAGTGAAACAATGGCCTGTTAATTAATTAATTTTCTTTATTTGTTTTAAGACAACATAGTATAATATCTGTCTGATGCATTACAAGTTTTTTTATTTCTTCTTGATGTCTAACTTTTCTCCTTTTAATTGTTAAAAGTTCTGCAAACATCTCTTATATACCATTGAACTCCATATAAAAGCCAGACGCTTTTTAGTGGAAAACCACCAAACAATTAAGAAAGCATGATTATATGCTGTCATAGCTTTGCAATCCAAAAATGCCATTATAACGCAAGTCAATGGGGCAAAAACAGCCCCCAACATAACGAAAGGGTAGTCGATTTGAACAGAACAGCGCTAGTTCTAACTTATAGCAGTCAAAAGAAAGCGAACGCTCACCTGTGTATGCCAGAGCACTCGATGCAGAGCAGGATGCCGAGGTTGATGCTGGCCCAGCGTGGGTCACTCTGACCGCAGTCACAGCAGATCTCGTTCCCGGGCAGACATTGGACCCGCTGTAAGATACTGTCTCCTCGAACCACTCGCTCCCGCGGCTCGCTGGCAGAGTCGATACTGCTGGTGGAGGGAGACGCCGTCCTGTCCAGCCGCTGTTCAGACATAATATACTGTCAACTTTAGAATTCTGTAAAATGCAATCCATGCTATAAGATTCAGTGCTGTGGGGTGCTTTTCTTCTTAATTGAATCTATTTATCTATTTATATGTATATATGTGTATGTATGCATATTATAAAACAACGAAATAGGAAATGTCCTGTTATGTGGTGCAACCAACACACTGAAAAAAAATAAATAAATAAAATAATAATAATAATAATTATTATATATATATAATATATATATATATATATATATATATATATATATATATATATATATATATATATATATATATATATATATATATATAAAGCAGCATGTCCAAAATTATTCATGCCCTTCTCAACAACCAATAGAAAAGCCTTTATTGGCTATTACAGCGATCAAACGCTTCCTATAATTGCTGAGCAGCTTTTTGCATATACAGTATCCACTGGTATTTCTGCACATTCACCTTTAGCGATGAGCTCAAATTCTTTCAACTTGGAGTCTCCTTGCCATCACTCTGATCTTTAGCTCAGAGCACAGATTCTCAAGGATTTATGTCAGGCCTCTGCCTGGGCCACTGCAAAAAGTTAATATTTTTGTCTAATAGTTTTGGGTCAATGTCTTGCTGAAATGTCCACTAGTGTCCAAGACCAGGTTTCTCTGCAGACTGCCTGATACTGTTGTTGATTCAACGTGTGCTTTACTGCTTATTAATTCATATTATATTGTTTGACCTGTCATGTGGAGCAACCGACAACAAGAACAGCAACAAAAAAACGACAAAATAGGAAATGTCCTGTCATGTGATGCAACCAACACACTGAAAAATATATATAAGATATATATATATATATATAAACCAGCATGTCCAAAATTATTCATACCCTTCTCAATAATCAATAATAAATCCTTTATTGGCTATTACAGCGATCAAACGCTTCCTATAATTGCTGAGCAGCTTTTTTGCATGTATCCACTGGTATTTCTGCACATTCATCTTTAGCAATGAGCTGCAATTCTTTTAGCTTGGTGTCTCCTTGCCATCACCCTAGCTCCTCCACAGATTCTCAATCGGATTTATGTCAAGACTCTGCCTGGGCCACTGCAAAAGGTTAATGTTTTTGTCTGCTAACCATTCCTTCACCAATATTGCTGTGTGTTTTCGGGCATTGTCTTGCTGAAATGTCCAAATGTCCAAGCCCAGGTTTCTCTGCAGACTGCCTGATATTGTTGTTGAGGAAACCTGTGCTTTAAAGCTTATTATTATTTATAAATATATTTTTGACCTGTCAAAATCAACAACAAGAACAGCAACAAAAACAATGAAATAGGAAATGTCATCAGAGAATGAACCCCTGTTTTACATTGCAAACAAAACTCACAAAATGCAATGCTTAAAAAAATATTAATTATCAAATGATAATCATCTTTCTGGAATATGATCAGAAAATGTGTGCAAAAACGCTTATTAATTAAAAAATATTTTGCAATTTTTAATTTGTTACATAACAAACAATACTTTGTCCTGAAATATGCATAAACACATACGTACAGTCATTTATCCTTTGTATTTAACATGTGAGGGAGCTCGCATGTTTCATTTGCTCACACCTCATGACATTTCAATAAATGTACACTTTTCATGAAAATTATATGAGGTAAAAAATGATAAAACTCTATATTTTTAACAACTGAAAATAAAGATTGAGGATTTTGCAGTTTCTTTACATAAACTTACAGTTCATATTGGTGCGTGTTATGTTTTGTGATGCTGACATACAGAATTAGACACAGCAGTATATATACACACACACACACACACACACACACACACACACACACACACACACAAGTGTGTGCAGTTTAGCATTAATACTGACCTCTATGTAATAGTTTTCAGAAATCTCCCTGTAGGCAGAAGCAATGCTGGCCTGAACCGCCTGAATCCACGCTTGACGGAGCTTCTCCGATTCAGCCTGCAGCATACAGCTCCTGATTGGGTTTATGATTTATTAATAATAATCACATGCTATACACACAGTGTGAGGCACACTCAGAATTGATAAAGTTTTGGGGTCACACTTTACTTTGATGGTCCATTTAAGTAACATAGCATCTACATACTAACTAATTCTCATGAGATTATTAGTAGACTGTTAGGTCAGGGTTATTGTGAGTTGACCTGTACTTGAAAAGTTTCCTACAGTCAGCTAAGTGTCTGTGAAAGGAGCGGTATCGACAGATATTAAGCAGGCAGTCTACTAATGCTCAAATGGACCATCACAATTAAGTGTTACCTGTTTTGGGGATACAGATGACAACATCTTTTCTAAACATGCAAACTACATATTAGTACAGACACAGATCGCACACATACACACACACAAACACACTAATACTCACTTTGTAGGTGACACCACTTCAAAACAGAACCGCCTCTCAATGTCCTCACATGGTTTCACAGAGCAAAGTCTCAAGTCCTCCACCACTACAGTCAAAGCGTCCTACAAGACATGGAAAAATATAACGTCAGGTCAAAATAATACTTTTTTTATCGTTGAAATAAAAGGAATCTACAATGGGGGAAATAAGTTTTGAACAGGTCACCATTTTTCTCAGTAAAACTAATTTCTAAAGGTGTTGCTGACTTTAAATTTTCAGCAGATGTTGGTTATGAAGTTATGCGTACTAAAATGAATTTACACCAGGACAAAGTATTGAACACATGAAGAAAGGGAGATGTAGAAAGACAGTAAAAGCCCAGACAGCAGCTGAAATCTCGGTCCCACTTTACATTAGGTGGCCTTAGTAACTATGTACCTACAGCCCTATTTACACATTTAGTACAGTGTACTATATTAAGTATGAATGTACTTTAAATGCGTCCAATGCAAGAACACATAGATACATTGTAAGTACACTGTACTAAATGTGTAATTAGGGCTGTAGGTACATAGTTATTAAGGCCACCTCTTCAGCAATCCTCTGCCATTCCTCAGTGTAAATGAATATCAGCTGCTTCAGTCCAACATCTACATTAGCAGGGTGAAGATGAAACCAGGGTGGACATTTCAGCAAGACAATGATTCAAAACACAGCCAAGGAGACTCTCAGATGCTGTCAGAGAAAGAAAATCAAGCTGTAGAATGGCCCAGCCAATCACCTGACCCGAATCCAATAGAGAATACACATTAAAGCTCAGATTTGATAGACGAGACCCACAGAAGCATCAAGATTTGTACACTCTGTTAAAGTCTGTGAGTAACTCACACCTGAGCAATGCATGTGTCTTCATTCTCCATATGTGAGGCGTCTTTATCTGCACAACTCTGGTTTACTTTGCACTCATTTGCTATATGCCCTTAATGTCACTGTATTGTTTACAATTTTATTACCTATGTACATTTTTTAGACCACATTTATGTGCAATGTATATACTGTAAATTTTCTTTTTCTTAAACTCTATTTTTTATATATATTTTTTTTTATTAATGTTAAGCACCTTGGGTCTGAGAGTAACGCAATTTTGATTCTCTATATGTCTTGTACATGTGGCTGAATTGACAATAAAGCTGACTTTGACTTTAAGCTGCTATTACTAAAAAAGCATTTATATAAAGACTTAAATACATTTCAGTAGTACAGTGCTTTCTCCTTGTGTCATTTCATTGTTATTACACATTTTTGTTTGTATTGTTTGGGTTTTCACCAAAATCTGGTTCAATTCCATGTCAACAGCTTCTTCAGAAACATCAAAAACATGACGGGTTTAAAACTTGTTTCCCCCACTGTGTATAGGCAAGTGACCACCTACTTTTAGTCGCTTCTGATACACCAGTTGACTGTTCTGTATTGAAAACCATCGCCTGGCAGGAGACAAAAACAAACTCAATACTGGATCTTCTCTACAAAATGAAGAATGATCACTGATTTGTAGGATCTTCTGACCTGTTCCATGTTTTGAAGGCGTTGCTGGCCCTCTTGAACAGGTATCCCTCCATCACCACGCCGTTAGGAGCGTCAACATTGAACTCCACTTTAGAGTCATCGTATGCAAAGTCCTGTGATGTGATGCAGAACGTGGGTCAGTAACACACACACACACATGCGCGCACACACTCTTCGCTCTCCTCGTCAGTTATGACTGAGGACCCTTATTGTTCCGTTAAGTCTTCTGCGAGACAGACAAAAGACAAAACTTAATCCCTATCAGTTAAAACATAATCCTCATGAGCACAGCAGCCACATCTAATCCCTGTCAGTTCAATCAATGCTGACCGCTGCTGCGCACTGACTCTCAGAGCACCAGTTTAACTGCGTCTGCTGTACACACGTACTAAGGGCTCCTTCACCTTTGCTTCAAAATATGCAATGCGCAATGGTTTGGAATTGTTTGGAAAAAAAAGCATGAGGGTATCCAGACACAACCACAGAGAGCCTGTAAACAGAGACTTGCAATGGGTCGCGAGCATAACAATCAAACATGTTTCGTCAAGCACGTTTACACTGAAAAACAATAGAAAAGTAGCACAATACTCATAATACGCATAATGACAAAGTTTTTGAAATTGTTGCAAATTTATTACAAATAAAAAAGGTGTAAAATCACATGTACATCAGTATTCACAGCCTTTGCCATGAAGCTCTAAATTGAGCTCAGGTGCATTCTGTTTCCACTGATCATTCTTGAGATGTTTCAGCAGCTTCATTGGAGTTCACCTGTGGTCAGTTCAGCTGATTGGACATGCTTTGAAAAGGCTACACCTGTCTATATAAGGTCCCGGGGTTGACAGTGCATGCCAAAGCACAAACCAAGCATGAAGACAAAGGAATTGTCTGTAGACCTCCGAGACAGGATTGCCTCGAAGCACAAGGCTGGGGAAGATTACAGAAACATTTCTGCTGCTCTGAACATTTGAAATAGTTTAAAGTGCTTTATTGTCTGGGTTTGTGTATATATTAAGATACAAAAACCTTTAAAATGATGGTCCATTACTTAGACGGATGTGTTTAATAACATAAACTAAGTACACTAACAAATATTCATAAATTTGCAGTTTTCCATGTTGTGTGATTCATATTTTTATATTTCTCTGTTTATTCATGCTTTTAAATTGCATTATGGGATCTTAATCTTTCTTCCAACAACTTTTAACCTTGAAAAGGTGACTTTTCTGAAGGTTTTTAATAGTTTAAAGTGCTATATTAACTAGGTTGGTGTTGTATATTATGCTACAAAAACCTTGCAATAAACTCCCAGTACATTTTCAGTTATTTTACAGATTTATTTCTCTATTTTTTATACATTATACTATTTCAAA